AAGACACTTCTTCGTAATGGTTTGCTTAAGGCAGAAATTAATTTAATTAGGTAAATAGGTACTTCAAGAAACATTTTGCTCGTATGCCTATGAACCACCTGCAATAAACGATTAAGTGACAATTTGATTATACCAGCTTTCAAAAAACTTTTTTGTTTTATTTTATAGTCTAATCAAGTACTTTTTTTAGGAAGCGAACCGTGAAAAAGGTTGATAATAGTCTCTCAACTGAACCACTACCAGGCCCTTCAACTGAGCCTTTGCCAGGACCTTCAACTGAGCCTTTACCAGAACCATCAAATGAACCTTTACCAGGACCATCAGATAAGCCACTACCAGGACCTTCAACTGAGCCTCTACCAGGTTGTTCATCCGAGCTGATGCCAGTGTTTTCGAAACAGCAACATCAAGTGACTCAAATAAAACTTGATGCTTCACTGTTGAGTCCGTCATCTGCATTCCAAAATGCTGAGAATTACTTTTTAAGGCAACAGGTGGATCAATTGACTCAAAAACTGGAACAGTTAACGACACGGTTTAGCTATGAAATTATCAAAAAAAATGATGCCCATTTGCTAATGTATACTGGAATTCCAACCAATGAGCTGTACATGGTTCTTTTTGAACTTATGGACACCATTAAATTAAAATACTATGCTGGATGGAATGTTCAGATCATTCCCAAAATTGATCAGCTGCTAATGACCTTGATGAAACTAAGGCTTAATCTTCCACATGAAGATTTAAGTATTAGATTTAGTTGCAGTACAGCTACAGTAACCAACATTGTTATGACATGGATATATGCTCTACATGAAGTCCTATTCAAGAACTTGATGTGCAATATACCATCCAGACAACAGAATCAGGCCTGCCTCCCTATTGCTTTCACAAATTTTCGAAATTGCAGGATAATTTTAGATTGCACCGAAATTTTTTCAGCAATTCCAGCAAACATGGAAAAGCAGAGATTGACGTACAGTTCCTACAAACACCGGAACACTTGGAAATTGTTGGTAGGTGTTGCACCAAATGGTGTTATCACCTTCGTGAGCAAGGCTTTTCCAGGGTCTACATCAGATAAAAAAATTGTTGAGGAGAGTAAAGTTCTGGATCAGATGGTGGCTGGAGATTTAATATTGGCAGATAAAGGTTTCCTTATCAAGGACCTTCTTCCTGCAGGAGTATCATTGAATATCCCTCCATTTTTGACAACACTACAGTTCACGGAATCTCAAGTTTATGAAACACAACAAATTGCGAAGGCTAGGATACATGTAGAACGGGCCATCAGAAGAATAAAATGTTATAACATTCTGCAACAGATTCCATCACATTATATGTCCCAAATTTCAATTATTTTCCAACTCTGTGCAGCCCTCACCAACTTCCAATATCCCCCGATTAAAGAGGTTCAGGAATATTATTGAAGGACGAGTGGGACGATATAATATTATAATTTTTAGTTTTAGTTATGTAGGTATTTTATTAAACATATGTACTTAATTTGAATTTTTCATTGTGGCAAACATAATTATTTCTTTATTTAACATTCGTTTTGTGAAAAATTCTGCTTAAAATTTTTATTTAAAAAATTTATATTTAGATTTTACTTAGTTTATAAATAACTTGCTCTTATAAAATTTTTGTTTTGAGTAATAATGATACTCCTCTCTTGAAATATTTCCAGTTTCTTTAATTTGATAAAAACCTGTACATCCAACCAACATTTTTCATAAAGTAAACAAATACAAGTAAAATTGTATTTCTTGTCAGTATACTTCAGTATGTATTTACAATCGTCGAATAAAGTATGTGAGTCACAAGTTATGTTCTAGTTTTTTTTTTAACCCTTTCACTATCACACCTCTTAGGAGTACTTCAAAAATTCTGATTTTTGGTATACGACATGTAGGGACACTATATATAAATAAAAAAAATATACAAAAAAATTCGGTCATCCCCACTCATTATTAAGAGATGTACATCACAATGGACAAACAAAGTTTAGGGAATTGAAAAGAAAAATGGAATTTTTCTGAAAAAATGTATTACAAACTTTATAAAACTAAAAAATAATATTTTTCTGGTGAAAATAAAAGTATATAATTTACTCCATGAAAACTATCAAAAAAAATAAATATATTTACTTGGAATGAAATGTGGAAAAACAATTTCTCCCCTTCAAAACACAAAGGTGGACTTTGCATTTGATACAAAAAATATGTGTCCTATTCTTGCATTCTTCATTTTTGCATCTTGATGCTTCTTTTTTGTCATCGTATTCTGGAGTATGATGGTATCCATCATATCTAAGGTTTCTTATTGGTCGTATTTCAGTTTTTTTTTTCTTAGAGGGCCCTGGATCATCAGTACTGGTTGATGGCCTACCTCTTTTGAGAACATGTCTTCCGCAGATTAGACTTTCGGCCACTTCTTGACGAAAAGCTAGCAAATCGAGAATTTCTTTTTGATTAACTCCTAAAAGGATGGCTTTCTTCCTATATTCAAGCCATGAGTTCACTAGCCCTAGATCAATAGCATGTGTTATCATCCTCACTGTCCATTTTTTGGATCTGACATAGGATCGATATAGGCTCAATAAGAAGTCAACTTTATCGACGCCGCCCATGTTACAGTTGTATATTTTGATTGCCTCAGGCCTATCTACCTGCATGTATTCTTTTTTTGTTTTGTCCCATCTTCGACATGAGTCTTTCTCGCCAATACCAACAAAGTTGGAAGCTACCAGCACTGGCTTGTTGTCGTACCATTTAGTGATAACGATGCCATGTTTGCTAACTGAGGTTGCAGAAGAGCCACGTCCTTTTTTTTTCATATCCTTATCACTGGGAAGCCTTGGATTAGCGAAACGATTCACTCTTATTGTTCCTATAGCAAATATAAATTTTGATTCGAGATATTGAAATAGATTATATGTACTGAAAAAATTGTCAAAAAAAAGTCCATGGTTTTTCTCAGTTATTCTATCACTGAGTTGCATCACTACAGCAGCTGCTGATCCATATTTTCCATAGAGGGGATTCAAGGGTGTTGTTGAACCTTGATAGATTAGGAAATCGTATATCAAGCCACTCTTGCCAGCCAAAACGTAGATTTTGATGCCCCATTTTTTAGGTTTGTTTTTCACGTACTGTTTGATGTTTATCTGCCCCTTGAATGGCACCATCTGTTCGTCAACAGAAAGGTTAGTTTCTAATGGCAATTGCAGGCATCTACTTCTCACAGAGTCGTACAAGCATCTGACTTTCCATAACCTATAATCAAAGAAGACGATAAGTGTCATTTATTCGAAGGAAAATGAGGAAGAAATCCAGTTCGATTATCTTCAAACCTACCTGTCATTGTTGTTTTCTTCGCGGCTGGTGATATCGACTAAGTGAATTGCTTGTCGCAACTTGTAGAATCTGGATTGGCTCATGGCATCTCTCACCAATGGTATTCCCATGCTCCGGTGCCAGTACATTGCCACACGAGGGAACTGTAAGTTCCCCATTGCAATATGAATCCCAATAGACGTTTTGATTTCATTCAAAGTTGTTGGTGGAAACCTAGCTATATTTTGTTGCGTGGCATACAAATTTGTAAAATCAGACATTTGTTGAAATAGATTATCTGGGACATATTTCAAAAAGAAGCAAATTGGGGCCGGTAAATCTGTTACAGGGCTTGTAGGAATGGGCGAATTCCATTGAATATTTCTGGTTTCGTATCGCACATTTTCACCCTGTATCCACTCTATTTTTGATTTATCAGTAAGATTATGTGTTTGCTCGAAAATTTTTACTTCATTTTCCAGATTATCATTTTCACGAATTCTATCATTCACAGTTTCATCTATCAATTCATTAGCCTCAACATCACTTGCTTCATATTCGTCTATATCCTCATTGTTTGTTTCCATTATTTCATCTAAAAAATTATCTTCTGTTTGTTTTTCAGGCATATCATCATCTGAATCTGAGAGGAAATCAATATCGGAGGCTTCATCATTTTCTAAATAGTATAGAAGCTCGTCATCTGTGAGCTTCTTTGTATATTTTCCTGGCTTTGACATTATCTGAAAAAAAAAAATTATGTCCATAAACTGTGTTTGTCCACCCTGATGTACATAACAATTCAATCAAAATCTGGGGATTTGATAAGATATCAAACTATGTAAATGATGAAATAGTTATTGAATTGATATTTTTACTCACCAATAATTAGTCATAAAACTCAAAATTCCACCAATTTCATAAAAAAAACACAGATAATAAGCACTGACCTAAAAACCACCTGTTTATATCACACTATATTGTCTACTAACAAATGATCAAAGTCACCCTGAAAAAGTTTGGCGCACACGCTATCGTCATACATGGGTTTGAATAGGATGTACAGTCTGATGTACAAACAGAGTTTGCACATAATAATCATGCCGGGCTTCATATATCGCAACATAATTCAATGTACATGGTGATGTACAAAAATAGTGAAAGGGTTAACATATAATCAGGGGTCTTCAAAAAAAATTAATCAAAGATTGCTATGGGTTTTTGAACGTATGTTTTAACAATATTTTTCTTTGTCAGTGAACTTTAATGTCAAAAATCCTGACCAATAAAGAAACAATAATGACAATCAAAGCACTTCTCAGTTGTTTTTTTTTTTGAAGACCCGATATCTACACACAAAAAATTGTCACCCAACTATATCTACAGTACAATACAGCAATTAAAATAGCTAAAATTGTTAAAAAAAATGTTTATCGAGCAAATGTTACCTATATCAAAAAAAAATCTTCAATCATTTCCTGATTTCCTCTAAAACTAAACTTTTTAAGCTCTGGACACATCTATCATGCATTCTTCCGATCCGACTCCGATCATACAATCAGGGTCCTTATTCTTGGAGCAAGAAGCAGCATTCCCAGGAGAACGAGTATTCCGCTGCTCCCCTGTTCCAAGAATAAGGACCTTGATTGTATGATCGGAGTTTTCAGTCTAAAATAAATGATATACATTTTTCAAACAGTGTACTCCATCTGCTTACATTGTGGAATTAAATAAAAGCACATTAAATAAAAATTCACAATTTATTAATTAATTTTCTAACAACTTTGGTAGGTATTGTTTTATATAGAAATTTTCCAAGACTGAAAGATTTTCTTTCCATGAATCGTCAAACTCTATAACTGTTACAATTGTTTCTTTCAACGTATAAATACATAAATAACATTTCTCCTTTTTTAAAATATGTAAAGCACCTTGAATTTGGTGATAGTAATTGTGATTAGTATTCAACATTAAATTGCCCTCATCATCATAAAAAATTATATATTTATTTAAATTCTTTAATTTTTCGGACAATTGATCATTTCTGAGAGAATAAGGACATTTTACTTCCACAATGGCCTCTTCTTCATCAATCAATCCATCAGGGCTGGCACCAAGAAGTCCTGAATTTGAGAGCCATACTCCGGTTGGTCGAATATTCAAGTTATAATTAGACTTCAAATGGTCTAGAGCATCTTTTTCATGCGTTCTGCCCCACTGGATTGCTTTGATACCATCCAAATTGTACTCGCCTGGAAAAAATATTGAATTTATTATAATAAAAATGTATGTCAAATTAACCCAAAGTAAGAAAACGCTACATAAAATACTGTTTTTGAAAATATCATCTGCCCTAAATATGTGTACTTAATATCTGACCAAAAAAATCTAAAAATCTTAAATGCTTAAAAATCTCAAGAAACCAAATTTTAACCGGGGCAGGGTTGTTACTCAAATTTACTGGCACCCTTCTGGCAGACTCTGAGAACTTCACAGAAAAAGCACAACCGAAAAGTTGTTACATTGTTGTTCATTACAAAGACAGCCCTTTTTCCTCAACTGTTGGAAACTACTGTGAGTTTAAAGACTACATACTCAAAATTTAAAAAAAGAAAATTCATGTTAGAGGAGCAATAAGCAACTTCAGTGAAGCACGTCATTGCATTCAATAACATGTACGCCAAAATATTTAAAAGATTTATTACTCACCTAAGAGCGTCTTGAACAAACTCACTGGGAATCTGTTTCTTTGGCACGCTGCAATAATAGCACCAAAGTTGCTAGCAGTCAAACGAAATTTTCTCACAAGGAACCATTTTTCATTTGACACCTGACCAGTTGTGGTAGCAGCCATGTCTTTTATCGAATGATCATCGACAGCACATTTCTGTCTGAACACAGACACTTTATCTGTGGCCTCCAAAAAATCCTTGGAAGAAATTATCTCTTCGATTATCGCAAATCTATTTTCCAGCGGATTTATTGACTCCTCATTCAATAGCCAAGTAAAACCAACAGTATTTCCGAAGCTGCGTAGCCTTTCCTTCAATCTGTTGATTGATGCCTCTGGTACCCCACCTTCGAGAGCTGTATAGGGCTTTGGTGGATAAAGCTCTTCTGCACATTTCACTGGCCCATCCTTTGGTTTGGGTGGTGCATTCCATGCACATGCTTTATCTGTTACCGATATATGATAATGCCCAAAAAGAGCCAACGCTGCGATGTGATGGCATTTTATGCCTCTAGGACAAATGCAAGTGGCTTCTCTAATATCACCATTCTGTTCCAATACTACAATAAAATTATAAAAAAATTAATTCCATATTATATTAACAAATGCAAATGTTAACATACCTATAGATACCTTGTAGCTTTTGTCTTTCATACTAGCAAATACTTCCCCTCTAATAATCTGCAAATCAGAGTCAAATTCCATTTTTTTCACATGGCTGGATTCCAAGGCATTTTCACCCTAGAGGAGCGTTCTGGAAGCCGTATCTCGTCGTTTTTTTTTTTCGGCGTAGAACCAAATCAAACCTAGTAGGTTTTGTTAAGCATGTCACTGGGCATACGAAATCTAAAGTGCAGACATTTTCCCGTGGTCTCGAACTTTTTTATGACAAAAAAAGTAAAAAAAATATATTTTTAATAAAATGTGTTTTTCTTTGTTTCTACCGTCATATCTTCAAAACCAATCAAGTTATCGAAGTAAATTTTTTTTTAAATTAAAGTACATACTTAGGCGCTTTTAATAGTGCCTTCGTTCCTCACGAAGTTTTCCCCTTTATTTTTTTAAAAATCGGAAAGTCCAGGAATTACAATTTCAGGTCTTACAATTTTCACCAATCGACAAACTTTTTTATTTTTGAAATTTTTTATATACATACAGCGAAGCAAATGATGCCAAAACATGACAAAAGTTTTTGAAATTATTAGTTATTACCCAATATATATCGTTTGGCCACAGCGATTTTTTATTTGTGCGCTAAAATAATCTAACGCGAGCGAAACCCATCACGAGACAGTATTATACCGCATTTACTCAGAGATAGGAGAATATAATACTCATAAGACCTTATGACCACTTAGTAGGGTATCATATATTTTTAATTTAATTAAATAGAAGCGGAAATATGGATATAATACCTATAATTCCTTTAAAATATATTTAGATTTCAACAAAATGTGGCCCTAACTTTCGACATTAAAAACATTCCTGTTCATCATTTTCCTCTTCTTCAAAATCTTTAATAGTGTTATTACAAAAACGACATTTACACTCGTTACAACATTTTAGACCTTCTTGCAGGCAAGCACATTTTCGATTTTCACCATTTTTATCTGAGGAATAAATATACAGGGCTTTCATTTCAAAACTTGCCATCCACGTTATCTGCGTAAAGAGGCATATTCGTGCAAAACGCCGAAACACGTCAACAAATTTATTGGGCGGGGGGGGGGGGGGGGGGTTTCACGTGAAACTGGAATCCCTTCTTTCAACCCCCTAACCTCCAGGGCTACGCTACCACACCACCTCAAAATTTCTAAATGAGACAGGGGGTCGACTGATAGATCAATTTGAAGGGCTGTTGGATCTGTAGAATTTGCCGTTTCATTTTTTGAATTTGACCTCAGTGTTGTTCAGAAATGCCTATTCATTTTTAAACACACCTGCTTTACCTACAATTTTATTACAGCCCCGCCACCAATCAATTTGTTGACTGTTGAGGTGTTTTGGCGATTTCCACGAATATGCCTCTTCACGCAAATAAGGTGGGTGGCAAGTTTTGAAATGAGAGCCCTGTATAATGATTGTCAAACAAAATTAGGAATTGGCTTGTCATTGGAAAATATTGGAGTTCAAACCTCGTCAGATAAATTCCATACTGAACCGTCTGCATTTATAAGTGGTGTGGGCTTATTGCTACTGTACCATGTTCAAGTTGAACATAATACACCTGCAGGAAATTATAGAATATAGCTACTAATTATAGGAAATGAATTGTGTTATATCCTACTGAACTATTAGTAACCATATATATCTTGGTTACAATAATCATTAATAGGGTCTTAACTCTCGCGCGGCGGTTAATTATTTCATAACTCCCGCTTTTACCTTGGATGGTACAACTTTGAGAAAAAATTGAAATTTTGGTTTATGGTTTATTCCTTTATAAAAATAAACAAAATACAATAAATTCAGTAGGAAATAAAATTATCTATTCACCACGGAAATTATCAGGTGTTAATATCCACGGGTAATTGCTGTCCCTCGGGCCCACAAACTTTGCCCTGGGGTATCAACCACCCTCATAATTCCCTTGATACAGCAATAACTATAAATCCATTTTTACCTTAAAAAGTTGTGATAAAAAGCGCGTTCGGTTGGAGGAAGCTCCGAGGATGGTTTGTTTGTAGTTGTTGCTAGTTTTATCCGCAGGTCATTTAGTTACTGTATTTGTTTGTCTTGGTTTTTGTAGAGTAGAAGAACCAATTTTTTAGCGAATTCCTTAGAGCAGATAAAGCGCACTCCTACAGACATAAGGAGTAGGAACACGCGATTTTGCTTTGAAACTAAAGTGAAGCCAGTTTTTAGCAGGTGTTTGTACACCAAACGACAGGTAAAGCATTGAATTAGCTATACCGCCATTATTTTGGATCTCAAAATACCTGAAAAAAAGACGGTTACATTTTCCTATTCCATGTTCCTTCTTCTCCCACTTAGAAACTTGACTACTCTAAGGCGAATTCTAATGCTTTGTCATGTGACTGCAGTGACAATTATTCAGACATTTATTGAAGAACGGCAATATTTTTTTTAGGAACATCGAAAGCAGAGTTTGAAATTGAATTTCGATGAGACAGCAACAATATTTTTTAATTTCTTAATCCCGCCAATAGCACACAGTACTATGGATAGTAGTCAAGTTGTCTAGCCATGGCGCGAGAGTATGCGATGCATTATTTTGGCGCGCAATTGAAAATTCGCTCTGGCCAAACGATATATATTGGGTAAAAACTAATAATTTCAAAAACTTTTGTCATGTTTTGGCATCATTTGCTTCGCTGTATGTATATAAAAATTTTCAAAAATAAAAAAGTTTGTCGATTGGTGAAAATTGTAAGACCTGAAATTGTAATTCCTGGATTTTCCGTTTTTGAAAAAAATAAAGGGGAAAACTTCGTGAGGAATGAAGGCACTATTGAAAGCGCCTAAGTGTGTACTTTAATTTAAAAAAAAAAATTACTTCGATAACTTGATTGGTTTTGGAGATATGACGGTGGAAACAAAAAAAAAAACATTTTATTAAAAATATATTTTTTTTACTTTTTTTGTCATAAAAAAGTCCGAGACCACGGGAAAATGTCTGCACTTTAGATTTCGTATGCCCAGTGACATGCTTAACAAAACCTACCACGTTTGATTTGGTTCTACGCCAATTTTTTTTTTCTCGAAAACTAAGCGACTTTCGGCCACAGATTTACTCGGCTACCCCTTTTTATAATTTTGTTATCATCTATAAAAGCATTGATGCTTGAAAGTTTCAGAACGTGTTTAAAAGCCATTATTCTCTTAAAAACAAAAGGATCTGAAAACAAAACAAACAAAAAGGTACTGCAAAATAGAATAAACATAACCTCAAAAAGTTTTAAAGCAGAATTATTATGTTAAAATAACTCACCTCAGGAAAAACCAATAAAAATCAACTAGATAGCACGTTCTTCCAACAATTTATCCAACTGGAAAGTCTAATTTCAAGAAATAATCCACAAAAACACGAACTGAAAGATTGGTTATACGGATTTACCGTTAAATACGAAATTGTTTGGACCCAGTATAGGCTCCGCCCATTTATGTGACGTCAGACTTAGGTAGTCTATTCCTACAAAAAAAAAATATATAATTTACAGAAACAGACCTACACATAAAAAATACTTATGGAAAATTGAGTATACTGAAGTGTGCCTTTTCCTGTTCTGTCCATTTGCTGATTCTTCCATTTGCTGATTTCTTCGTTTGGCTGGTGATTTTTCTGTTTAAGGATATAAGGATAGGTTTGAGGTCCTGTAAATCTCTATGAAGGAGGCAAGCAGTTACACTGTCTAGGAAACAACCACACACTTTGTAGCTAACTCCGTAGACCTCATACAAGACAGTACCGTTGATAATAGCATCAACTATCCACTTCATTAACTTCAGAATACTCACAATTCCAATGGCTCCTGCGGTCAGGTTACCGAATACCGAGAACCAACCCCAAATTTGTGTTGTAATCTTGTCTGCAAATGTCTTTATGTCGGCTTCCATGAATAGGTTGGTTGGAACTAAATCTTGCATATCTGGTCTTTGACCTGACATACTCCTGACAATAACGCCCTGTATCGCCTCTCTTTCGTTACCGAGCATGATATGGTCTCTCAGTATATCCAATTCGTTCTGTGAGTAGATACCAGTAGAAGCTAAATTCTTGATAGACTTATACGACCAAGCCTCTTCTCTGCTCCTTACCTCAGGATCAAGTGTTATTGGTGCTATGGTTTCTGATTGTCCCTTATTGATTAAGTACCATGATCCATCCACCTTAAACATGGGAGCATATAGACCGCTACAGGTTACCTCTGTACCATGACGCTGAATCAACCTGGATCTTGGAGTGAGGAAGTAACTTTCATTTTTGTACATGATGGGTAATTCATTGTAACATCTGTCAACTTGACGCACCGTAACCATAGCTGGAACACATTTAGTTAGATATATGACTTCACCCAACTTCGTCGCAGTGTACCCAGGGCCTCCCATATTGATAAGCAAACTGTTGAGGACTTATTTCTGCTAGAGCCAATTTGTTATCAAGGTTGGTCTGCTGTAAATGGCACCTCTGCTCCAACATCGTAGAATAGAGATTTTCCATGTTCATTCTAGTGCTTCTCTCTATAAACACAAATTTTGAGTTTACATAAGTAAACAGGTCGAAGTTATTGGCTTCGAGATTTTGTTTGTGAAAATAGAAATCAAATCCATTCTTAACAATCACTATGAGTTTCGGTTGCTCTGTCCTGTATGACTGTGAGTTGCATATCTGGTATGGTGTAGTTAGTCGCAATGAGAAGCTTGTATCCAAATCCATCACGGTAACAAACTTGGATTTCCCTCCGTTGGACCCAGAACTTTCTTCTGTCATGTTTGCAATGCCCTCATAGAGAACTAAATGACTATTCCTGTTGCAGCTGTCTTTCGAGAGACTAGTCCAATAATATTCATTACCATCTGAGTCGACACAGTGCTCCTTTGAGCCGGCGCAAATAGTCTGTTTTCCAAGATGGATTACATCCTTATCATTATCAATGGTACCTTCCCCCTGGTACAAAGAGACTTCGACATACAGACTACGACCGATGACCATTTACCAAATTCATCAGAGTAATAACCCCCGGTACATGCACCATGATTATCAACTGCTCCTGCAAAAACGATGGATTGGCTTATCGATTGACCGGGGATTAGATTACTGAATGTATGAGGGCACAACTGTCCAGCAACTAGCCCAATACTGTCCAATGAGTTGTCACTCAGCAACATCAATGATAATTTCGGAAATATCTGAAGAAGTTTATATGTTGACACACCCTAAAAAGGGTTTGGGGGTCACGTGCAGAGAGATTAAATCCTATAAACTCAAGCCAGAGCATCCTCATCAAGGGTCGATTAAGGTGAAATTACCTTGTAACTGTCAATTACAGTCAGAAACAGACATAGTCATTCCAAAACGATTTCCATGATTTTTTCCTCAGTTAGTATAATTTTTCTTGCAGCAACTCGACGTCTTATATTAGATGTTTTAATCTTGTTTCTGGCAGTTTCAACGCATCCAGGGAACTATGTTTCTATTTTTGCTCTCGTAGCTGTTGCAAAAGGATTTTCCTCCAAAAACGCAACAAGCGAATGATTTTGTTCTTCGGTTGAAATTCTCCCCAAACCAGTTGTTAGAATAGTTACATTAAGCAATTATTTGCTGGTTCTGAAGGCCTTTCTCCTGGCTGTTCAGATTCAAGGGCAATGGCTGAATAAATTAAAACCAAACTTGTTTCTTCTTGCAACCAATCTGCTTTATTTCCATTCACAAAACTACTTACTACTCACAACTTAACAATAACTTGGATTCCTCAAAGGAAGAGCCAATGATTATAATAATATTTTTAATTTTAATATTAAACGAAACGTGACTGAGACTCAATCTAACAGCTAATGCTACACCGTCACCGCATTCTTCACTGATCAATAATCTTACTTCCTCTTTTTCTCATATGACACTTGACTTGACAGACAAGACACATTGGACAGTAGACACACTGCCGTAAAATAGAGATGTACTTGCTAGCATAGGAATGAGCTGACTTAAATTAATATACAAGCTTGTGCTGGTAAATTGTTTTTCCAACAATGGCTACCAAAAATTTCAAATTCATCTTCTTCTAACCCCTTATTGGCACTTTGACAAATTTTTTGCAATTTGTTTATTGTAGACGAAGTTGTGCCCGCATCACAGCGAGTCAATCGCTTCAAATTAGGGCGAGGACGAGTACATGGTGTTTTCGTACTTTCAATTGGCTCATTTGAGATCAATGCCGCTGACATATCAATGCAAGCGTCGCTATCGCTATTATTCCAGCCAAAAATATACGGGGTATCCCATTTAAAAAAATGCACGTGGCTGTCACTATGACAGTTGGCACCTGTCATATGCTCGTTTTGAAATGTGCAAAAGATAAGGGAGACAAAACTCTACTAGTAGCACTTTCAAAGAAGTTCTCGGCTCCACTTGGTATTGGCGGTGCAGCTACCTTCTGCCTCTTTTTTGGTGGAGGGTTTTCTTTTGTAATGGAACACGAAGAACCATGCTTTGACGTAATGGTGCGTTCGCTGAACGTGGATGACATATGAGATACCTTAGGGCCGAATTTATAGTCAATCCTTGAGTCTTCCTTAAAGGTCGTGAGGTTAGAATGGACACTTGGTACTATTTGACAAATTAGTCATGTCAATTCTAAACGTTCAAGGCTTCCTTAAGGTCCAAGGAAACCTCAAGGAGCGACTATAATTTCGGCCCTTAGATATGTCCGATATGTCACCATCAAATATTATTTTAAGCTTTCCTCCTTCTTGAGTTTTCTAAAACAAATAAAAAACATTGCCTTCTAAGCATATATTGCACACATTGTTTAATTTCAACAATTTCTTGTCTTGAACGAGAATGCTGGTTAGTATATCCCTAATTGAATAAACCAGATTAGCCGAGTACTACTGTATCAACCTCTCACAACAACTCAACCTCTTCAGCCTCTACCGCATGAGACATATTCGAAGAACCCAGGTTCCACGATAGATGAGGTTGGTTCCTCAGAAATTGCAGAAGATCGAAGCACCACTTTTGATTCTCGTAAGCGTTGGAATACTGCTAGTAGTAGAGAATAGGCGATACTCGGACACTCGATGGTAGGCGGTTCTGCGACACCTCGATGTCCTCACTAGTGATGAGCGATACCGTGATTTTCAAATCACGCTGTTACCTGATACCGTGATTTTTAAATATCAGTGATTTTAAAGCGTGACTTAATCACGACTTCCAATATATTTTAGTACAACTGAAACTGATGCAGACAGATGCAATTTTTTTTCTACTAGCTCAAAAACGACTAGCCATAACCACTGGGAATGGGAAAAAATAAAAAAAAGTTTGCATGTCTATCGAACCTTAGTCCATTCGATCAAGGACTGCTAATGCTAACAACTATAGAACTTGATAATTGAATGATGGTTGTTGTAGTAGTAGTAGAAGTGATTGATTGTGTCAATTGTGATGAGGATAGTCTGGCCCACCTAATGCTGTGCAGATTGCTCTCATCGAATTTTGTTTAAATTCTTGCAGAATAGCCTAGCCTGGCCGTGCGAGCCTAGCCTGAACTAGTCCAGAGGGAATAAATAAAAATATTTTTTTTTATGAAAACAGTTTCATTAACAGAGAAATATACGTATTTCTACAAAAAAAATAAATAAAAATAAAAATCAATATATATTTGCTAGTAGCTTTTTAATTTTTTATTTTTATTTCCACATGATGATTTATATTGATTGAAGTGTTGTACATTGTGGTGTGTTTCGGCTTTTATCATATTCCAGTATATTTTCGTTGTGTTGTCCCATAATTCAGTTTTCTCAAAATCATTGTCCATTTTTTTCCAACCTGCATTGTCCCAAGGTTGCGCTTGATATAATTGAAAGCATTCTTCTACACGGGACGTTACCACCGAATCTTTGATTCTTAACAGACCTTGCTTGTTTGGAAGGTCAATATTGATTCGGGGCGAGAAATAAGAGTAAAACATTTTAGGAATCGGGAATTTTTTCTCCGCAATAGAGATCTACAGGACTGTTGGTTGTGATGTTAGAAGATGTTATTTGGTGAATATGAATTGATTTCCAACAAAAACAAAATAATTTGTTGCAGTTTTCACACCACAATGTTCCTTTGAATTTTATATATTTATCATTCTTCAATATGGCTCTTGGTTTACATCTGCGTCTTGTTTGAGAAAGGCCACTTAAATTCCTAAATCGCTTATTATCTGCAAATACTGGCTGCTCCTTTTTTTCAATTTGAGTAGTCAAAAAAATATTTTTATTAGCATATAATTCAGGGTATTATTTCAACTATGACTAACATCAACAACTTTTTGTAGTGTAGATTTTGATAGAAATACTTGAAACATAAGAAGAAGAGAAAAAATAGAATCATTATATCCCCATGGTATAGTATCAGTATTTACATAGTTTACAATACGCTTATCATCAAAAGGACTCAAAGCTGTTTTTATTTGTTCTACTGTGAAAATATCATGCTTTTTAGAAATAATTGAATTTTGTTGAACAACAGAAGTATTATGAAAAAGGCAATTATAATAATCATCAAATGTAATAAGTTTTAATGCGGCTGATTTTACACCGTTGGCTTTTTGTTTCACATGATCATTACTATTATTGTCCTGCTCTGGAGTTTTTAAAAGTTTAAAACAATACATTTTACACCTTAATCCAACGAATTCGGTCATGACTTTACCGTTGTTTTCATCCTTCATTAACCCGTATACTTTTTTGTTTTGTTTTGTTTTGAAAAAATAATTAGGTATATCATCTAAATAAACTAGGCATTTTTCGTTTTGTAGTCCCCTAAGTATGGAATCCATGACGCTTTGGAAAGTGGTTGGGGCGTTTTTAAGCCCAAACGGCATTCTAAGATATTCGTAGTGTCCATTTTCTGTATTAAAAGCTGTTTTTGGAATATCCGCACAAGTAAATTCATCTGAATTTTCTATTTGGACAATTTTTTCTATATCAGGTACAATAGAAACAGGATTCAAATCCTTATCAGCACAACTATTCGTTGCTTCAACAACGTATTCAGTTTCAGCATTAATTTCCTGGGAGTTATCAACAAATGTAGGGTCATTGTTCTCCAAAGAAACTTCATCCAAAGAAATTTGATTGTTTTCAGATATTGCAATGGCACTTTCACAATTTTCCTTAAGTGTTGGATTATTCAAAACAATTTCATTTTCTTTAGCAACTCTTTTCTTCAGCAGATCTCAGAAAAGCATCTTGCGGAACGAGTTTAAGAATTTCTTTTAAGTCTTTAACCTTTCCGGCTGACAGTTCTTTTCTCTGTGGCCACAGAAGAGGCAATTCTATTTGTTTTAAGACAGATTTTCGTCCTTTTCCTGCCTTTTCAATGAGAACCTTGCTATACTGTGGATGATTAGGTAAAAAACTGTGACCCGAAAGCAAAAATTTTAAAGAGATTCACTCAAGCGAAGAAGACGCGAATAAAAATAAAAACCAATTTTATACTGCGGTTCTGAGCTCCGCAGGAATCAGACTACAAAACTAACTTTTTCATTCACGAATTTACGTAAGCAGGAACCGACTTCCTGGGTGCCTCTGCGTGCTTCATGCTCTAACCCATTGGTTCCCAACCTTTTTTATGCACGACCTTTTTACAGATTTTCTCATAAGGTCGCGACCCCCTTACCCATTGATTAATGAAAAACAAAATTATATTTATTCGAGAAATCTTTAACAAAAATATTAATATTTCGTAACTAAATACAGAAATCAATTTTTATTTCGTTAATGTGATGATTTCTCGATTTTTCTGGCAACAAATCAAGTGATGCCGCTTTTGCTGCTCCCCGGATTTCCGGCGGTGTGCCTTGTAAATAGTTTTCTTCAATATTTTCATTATTATCCATAATTGCGCCATCTTACTGCACTGGATGAATGTTGAAAAATGGTTGAAAGACAATTGATGACATTTGCATTCGTATTGTCGGTTGCAGCGTTACTGCCAATTCTCCACCCTTATTGGTTCGTCTCCGTGTCATATAAAATTGTAGTCAGCTATGATTGGTTCTTGCCCGTGCAATATGAAACTCGTATTACACAAGCGTAATATAGCCACTATATTGTATTTGCAGTTTACTAAATAAAAGTCTGATTAAATGACAGTTGAGGATACATTATTTTTCTACTTGAATAAAATATAAAATAAAGACTTTAGGATGTTCTATTGAGGTTTAGCAATAATAAAATTTATGATGGAAAACAAACTTCAATTTTTATTGAATCAGGCTTTGATAAGGAGAGTTTCTAAATATTTCTCCTGTGATGTTTCTCTGGTGGAATCTGTTTCCAATATTTTCTGCTTCTGTGTCATTTTCAACAACTTTGCTCCAGTAATATACTCGTTCACATTCTCCAAACCATCAAAATCTATAAATAAGTTGTGAATAACACAGAAAGCTAATATTGTGTTCGGAATCAAATCAAGGCGATTCATATCTAGGAATTTTAATATTCTTAACCTTCTAAACAATAAGGCAAAGGATCTTTCAATTGTACCATGTGTTTGAGCATGCCTTTTGTTAAAATTTCTTCGTGCAGCAGTCAAATTGCCTCTATCTATGTATGGTGGAATACACCACTGCAAAAAAGGGTAGGCTTTATCTTCAAAAATAAATTAATTTCCTGTGAACCAATAATCATGATTTTCCATTACTCTAAGATAAATGTCAGTGTTTCCGAAAATCCTTCTATCGCTAACAGACCCAGGATGGCCCACAAAACAGTGCGTGAGTTGAGCATTGCAAATACCTTGAAGAGTCATAGTATAATTACACTTTCTTATTCTGTATGCTTCAGGGACTTACTGAATCTTACATACCTATATAATGTAGATATGAATTTGCGACATTAAAAAAAAAAACATTGGAACAATAGTAATACTTAAATAAAAGAACAATAAATGCTTAAAACTAAACCCATAAAAAGTACCTGAACCAGGTTATCACAAACAACTTGGACATAACTAAAAAGTATCTGGTACTTCTTGTAAATTAAAGCAATCCATGTGATACCATTTAACATCACAGTCGCTGTCACCACATTCTATCATGGGTCTGCCATCATCAATCATCTTACAGATGCACCAGGTTTCGAATGGCAATGAAGTTTTGGTGTAAAATCTCCCAAGAAGCACTGGCATAATGACCCTCTTGTGAAATTCCAAACTTTTTGCACATTCACTCCTCCAAAAATCTTCATTAAACAAGATTCTTTGGACAAACAACTCAGTTGGTGACCATACTACAAAGTCGCAATATAAAGTTTTGCTTAAAGCCATCTGCTGCTGCATTTGATAAAAATATGCATGTTTGTTATTAATCTCTAAGTTCTCCTCTACCACTTCTAAGCAAGTGCCCCTCTTCATTGCAAATTCCTCTAAAGTCAGGTTTTTGAGGAGAAATGGGCATTTTACCTCAATGCAACCGAAGTTCCAAATTGGTGATATTGTTCAGAGACAATCAGTCCTATTTCTGAAATTGTAACATCAGTATGGTCCTAATTTATATAATAATTGAGATAGGTCTGTAATGCCACTTTTGATTTCAGCTTTCCCCAGTCGGTTGCTTTGGACCTAAATTGAAATTTCAGGGGGTAGCAAATGCATTTCACTAATGATAATGATGGTTTTTCAAGTTTGGTGCAGCATGATTGTTTAAATTTTGATGCAGTAATCCTGCCTGTTTTCTGCAAAAACCACTCATTTGATTTGCTCTGGCTTCTTGTGGCAGTTTGAATCAAAACACACTTTTCGCTTGAAATAGACACAACTAATTTATTTGCTTCACTAAGAAGTTCCTCATGACTATTAGCTTCATATTTATTCTGATACAGTTGTGTATAAGGATTATGAAATACTTTAATTTTGGTTTTCATCGATTCAGCTATTGCAGTAGCAAAGGGCTCTACCACTCTCATTGACACCGATGATAAATCAGCTTCTTCGAATAAAACATCAACAAGTGAAACTTTTTTTTTTTTCCACCCACAATCAATTTGTCTCACCTGCTTGTACTACACTTTTTTCACTTTTGTCGGTATGTTCCAGCCTGATGCCACATTTGTACACGATGCTCCCTCCGTTGAAGTTGCAATAATCTCAACAGCAAAAAGTAGGGCTCCTACATGGCTGCACACTTCACCCGCTCCAACCGTACAAGTACAGTGGGCTGACACAATATCGCCTTCGCTTTTACAAATTGCCCAACATTGCAATGGAGAACTATTCATCCGCTGTGAATGCTTGACCTAAAAAATCAAGAAATTATAGAAATGGTATGACTTACTTTTGCTCTGATAATTATATGATCGGCAACTTTTAGCCTTCCACAGTGGCTAACAAATCCTGCCTTGAAATATTTGAAGGCACTCAGGTTTTAATATTCTTTCATTTGCTGGGAAGTGTAATAGCTTGTTGTAAGCACTAAATAGCTGATAATGTCCATGTTTGAAATTTTTGGAAACTTTCCTGGGGGAGTATTAAGTCTGAATCACTGAAAATGAAAGGATCTATATTATTCACAAGGAAAATTTTCTGCTTGTAGCGAATCGCAATTTCTGAACTTTCAGCTTTTAGCTTCGTCAGATAATCACGCATTTTACTTGATTTTAGTCTTTTAAGTTTATACTTTGAACAGAAAAAAACCTACACACTTCAAAAACGTTTCAGCACTCCGCAAAATTTCTCAAAAAACAAAGGAAAATACACAATGATAAATGGGCGTTGGTCTTTGTTTATGGTACAAGGATATGACAGATGACTTTAAGGTTATGTTCTGAATCGGCCTATGCTTATACGAAAAAAACGTGCTTAGAGGTTACGTTAGTTGGTTAGCCTCAAGGATGATACACACCTACATGATTGCTTATCGGCCTCGTTTTCGGTAATCGCCGCCATATTGGTGTGTTACCATTTCCGACGTTATAACTAAGTCGTCAGCTGTTTAAACAGCCTACGACAAGGCGAGAAATAACATTCTGCCTACGTCACACCTGGTAATTTGACGTGGGGGGGATGTAAGAAATCCCGATGTTATGAAACGCATACTTGACAGCCTTCCTATCAGATTCCGATAAAGTTCTATATTTTGATTGAATCGGCTTTTACTTGGTGGAAATCCATTATCTAATAAAAGATTTTTTAAGTAAATTTTAATACTTATATATTTCCACAATTTTTTGTTAAACTTTTAACATGTTTCGCTAAACTTTAGCTTCATCAGAAAGATTTTAGAAAAATAAAATGTAGACATAAAAGTGAAATTGACAAATATAAAAAAGGTAAAAGCTGGTCTAATTTTATGTTAATTTAAATAGGTATTACACAGTAAATAAATTTAAAAGTGGTGAATTGTTTAAATCTAATTGGTCGTTCAATAAACAGTCTAAAGTTTTAAGTTTGTTTATTTCTAAAGATTCTAGAAGATTTAATTTTATCCCTTTGTTTTCATTATGTAGTATTTGAAATTCATTATTAAAATTATGATTTGATTCTATCAGGTGATTAGCATAATTTGAATCTGTTTTCTTTTTATTGAAACTATTGTAATGTTCTTTAATTCTAGTACCAAAATTTCTACCTGTTTGTCCTATATATACTTTTGGACAATCTTTACAAGATAATTTATAAACGCCAGATTTATCACAAATTTTAGTTTTAGATTTATTATTTTTCAAGTGAAAGCCTATTGTATTGTTAGTTTTGAAAGCAACATTTATATTGTTTTTGTTAAGAAATTTGCTAATTTTCTTACTAGCTTGTCCTTGGAAAGTAATACTTTTGAAATTATTATTATTTTGTAATTTTTTAGGGTATACTAAATTAATGGCATTTTTGTATAGTTTTTTGTTTAAAATATCATCTATTAATTTAGAAGAATAGCCATTATTGATAGCAATTTGTTTAATTAGGTTTAATTCTTTTTGGAAATTAATACTATTTATAGGAAGTGTTATTAATCGGTGTATCATACTGTTAAAAGCAGCTAATTTGTGTTGGATAGGATGACAAGCTAGTAAGAAAATTAGCAAATTTCTTAACAAAAACAATATAAATGTTGCTTTCAAAACTAACAATACAATAGGCTTTCACTTGAAAAATAATAAATCTGAAACTAAAATTTGTGATAAATCTGGCGTTTATAAATTATCTTGTAAAGATTGTCCAAAAGTATATATAGGACAAACAGGTAGAAATTTTGGTACTAGAATTAAAGAACATTACAATAGTTTCAATAAAAAGAAAACAGATTCAAATTATGCTAATCACCTGATAGAATCAAATCATAATTTTAATAATGAATTTCAAATACTACATAATGAAAACAAAGGGATAAAATTAAATCTTCTAGAATCTTTAGAAATAAACAAACTTAAAACTTTAGACTGTTTATTGAACGACCAATTAGATTTAAACAATTCACCACTTTTAAATTTATTTACTGTGTAATACCTATTTAAATTAACATAAAATTAGACCAGCTTTTACCTTTTTTATATTTGTCAATTTCACTTTTATGTCTACATTTTATTTTTCTAAAATCTTTCTGATGAAGCTAAAGTTTAGCGAAACATGTTAAAAGTTTAACAAAAAATTGTGGAAATATATAAGTATTAAAATTTACTTAAAAAATCTTTTATTAAAGTTCTATATAGCGTATTTGGTTTAAAGAGCCAGGAATTTTTTTTAATTAAATTGTAACATAATACAATTTTTCAATTACTTACTCTCTCTCTTCCACTGTTTGTATGCTTTTCAAGTTTTGATGAACTCGAAAAGTGACATCGGATTTTCTTGTCCAATGTCTTTGCTTCCTCTGTATATTAGAGAATACTTCCCCTCCACGAATTGGTCCAGGTGTGATTCTAGCGCCTTCACTGCTCTTTTTGGAAGAAAGGCCACACTCTCCGCCAGTTCTATTAGTACGGATGATCCGTATTTGCTGTGGACTTTTTTCGCTGACAACACCGGCTGGTTCTCTCCAACCTGCAGATCTTGCAGTTTCACTATTGGCTTCTGCTCCTCGTCGTCACTTACTAAAAGGCATTTCTCATTAATTGCATTCAGATCCATATTTAAAATAAGAAAATGCTTTCTATTTATTGTAATATTTTTAAAAATTATTATAGATTTATTTATAATATACGTTGTGGGAGCAAGCTGAAATATTCAACATCATTATTAATTAAAAATTCACTTACTTTTTTTTTGAGAAGAGAAGAAAAACTGGGAGCGAGCACTCAATCGTTTCGAAGAAGGCGATATAATTCAAATTATTTGCAATGCTGTTGAAGTGAACGCGTTCATTATCATTCTAAAAGAATCTCTCAACTACTAGCGCGCCTTGGATTTTCTGGATTCAAAACTAAAATATTCAAGTTGATTTTATTTTTATTATTTTTTAGTTACTTTCCACAAGGCAGTTCGATGAAAAGTATTGCTTGGAGTTACCACTTTGTTCATACAACAGTGCATAAAATTATTATTGAAACTGCAAATGCAATTTGGGAGGCACTATCAGATGTATTTAAAACCACCCTCTTTGGAAAACGAATGGCTGAAGATTGCAAAGGAGTTTGAAGACCAGTGGAATTCTCCAAATTGTGTTGGTGCTCTTGTGGCAGCCAGTACTTTAATTACAAAAAAAGTTTTAGTATTGTCTTATTAGCTGCATGTGATGCCAATTATAATTTCACCCTTGTGGATATTGGGGCCTATGGCAGTGAAAGTGATGGTGATGTATTCAAAAATTCTGTTTTTGGCAACATGCTCGATAAAGACGAAATGCATATTCCTCCAGAAAAAGGTTATCAAATAGTGACATTGTCCGCCCTTTCTATTTTGTTGCTGATGAAGCCTTTCCATTAAAAACATACATAATGAGGCCTAAAGCCGCGTTCTCAGAGCTTCGTACTGTCGCCGCGACACATCCCCTCTTTTCCCAAATTATTGACATTCGTTGTCGCGGGCGGTCGCGGGCTACTGTCGCGTCCTTTGATTGAAGACGAAGACAGATTAGTTATAACCTTAACCTACATCTTTTATTGTGTTTACCTTTTACCTTCCACTTATTTGTTTTTTTTCTCTTGTTTGGAAAAATTAGTGAATCTTGTTGAATTTATTATTTAATATGGATGATGGACGAGTGCTTTTACTAGCACATTATTGGATTTGGCGAAAGTCGAAATTAAAACGCTCTACCAATCGTTGTAAAAAAAGGAAGTAAGTTATAGAAGTTTTATAAATGTTTGTTGGATTACATTAATTTTTTTTTCAGATTTTGGGTGCGTCCGATTTTCCAGTTGAGAAATGAGTTGGGTGCCGGAAAAACTTTGATAGAAGAAATGCGCTTCAACCCAGACAATTTGCATTATAATTTTTTTCGAATGAATGTTGAAGGATTTGATAGACTTCTGGGTTTACTGGAGCCTCACATATCTAAGAGTGATTTAGGAAGGGAGCCAATAAGTGCTCAAACTCGGCTGGCAGTAACATTAAGGTAAGAAGGATAAAGATACCACATACCTACTAGATACATAGGTGCAACTATTTAGTATTGTGATATTGAAGCAAAGGTGAATAAATGAATGCTTGTGGGAATGTATTATTGTATGAAAAATTACATTTATTTTCATTATGCTAATTATTTTATTTTTCTAGATACCTTGCTGCTGGTGATAGTATGGTATCCTTATCATATTTGTTCAGACTTGGCAAAACTACTGTTTCAAACATTATTTCTGAAACCCTTGAACAAATATGGAATATTCTCAAACCTATAGTTTTAACCCCACCAAATGAAGAAAAGTGGCTGGAGGTAGCAGAGGGATTTAAACAAGTCTGGAATTATCCTAACTGCATTGGGGCTATTGATGGAAAGCATGTGTTAATTCAGGTAAGCGTCTTTAAAAGTTTTGCAAATCCTATCTTGACTTGAGATATTCCTTCACACATTTTTTTTTTTTTAGGCTCCGCCCCATGCAGGAAGTGCTTATTACAACTATAAGGGAACCCACTCTATGGTTTTAATGGCTGTATTCAGCCATCAGTATGAATTTTTATTGATTGACATAGGAGGTCAGGGACGTCAGAGTGATGGAGGCATATTCCGGGATTCAGCAATTGGGCGGAAGCTGACAGACAAAACATTGTCAGTTCCCCAACCGCAGCTTGTTTCAGAGGGAAGGCCACTTTTGCCTTTTGTCATTGTAGGAGATGAAGCTTTTCCACTACTGGAAAATTTGATGAGGCCATATCCAGGAAGGGAAGGATTAGATTTAGATAAATCGATTTACAATTATAGGCACTCTAGAGCTCGCCGAATAAGTGAAAATGGCTTTGGAATCTCAGTTGCTCAGTGGAGGATATTTTCGCGACCAATTATTGCAAAGCTGGAAAATGCTGAAAATATCATCAAGGCAGCAGTATGTTTGCATAATTTCCTAATTAAATATGTGAAACATAATTATATACCTCCATTGCTTGTGGATAATGAAAGGGATGGAGTTGTAGTTCCAGGAACATGGAGAAATGCCCCTTCACAATTAACAGGAGTTGGACGGATTGGAGCCAATATGTACGGAATAAACGCAAAAGAGATAAGGGATGTTTTTAAGGACTATTTTAATGAAGAAGGGGCTGTACCGTGGCAATGGGATAATTTGTAAAACTGGTACTTCTAACAAATCTTTTAAATTATTATAGATATTCAAGTTTTTTTTTTTTTTTATTGAACACTGAAATGAAAATAAATATTAATTTCACAGAAAATTTTATTCAAAAGTTCTGCATAGAGTTTTTTGTTTTGATATAAAATCAGGTATACCACAATTTTCGTAATATTATAAAAATGTATTGTGCTCTTTTGTTTTGTAACTTTAAATATACGTAACTGTTGGTAAAAATTAATGTTCGAAATTATTCAAAAAAAAACCTACACACATTGGAAATAAAACACTATCAATGATAATTATGGAAAACATTTATTAAAATAAAAAATATAATATACAGGGTGGGGACTTTAAGTGGAACTAATTCGCCTTGGGATAAAATATGTGGACAAAACGCAAAAACACATTGATTAGGATTTTTTGCAGGCTTTCCACTCATGAAAAAACTCACCTTTTTTAAAGGGTGTAACCTTACACCAATTAGTTTTTTTTTTTTAATTAGATGATACCACTTGTGGCACCTTTTTGGGAAGCTGCTTTCGCAATGTATTATTCATTTTGTTGTGATAGTAAATTATTAATTTAAAAAACCCTAATGAAAATCAAAAATTGAAAAAAGAAAATAGACCATAACATTTGCATAAAAATTTCAATTTTTGATTTTTTTTTTAATTTAAAAATTTTCCTATCACATCCAAATGAAAAAAAAAAAAAAAACTGCACAGCCAATGCCAGAAGTAGTATTTAATTTAAAAAAAAAAAATTGGGGTAAGGTTTCACCCTTTAAAAGGAGTGATTTTTTTTTTTGACGTGACTGAAAAGCCTGCAAAAAATCTCAATCGACGTGTTTTTGTGTTTTGTCTACATATGTCATACAAAGACTCTAGCGAATTAGTTTTACTTAAGGTCCCCACCCTCTATAATCATTTTGTCTACTGATCATAGATATGCTCGTTTTCCACTTCTGTGAGCCTGGTCAGAAACTCGAGCTCTAACTGGTTCCTGATTCTGGGTGGAAGTTTTTCAAGCCCAGCTGCCAACCTCATACAAAAATTCTGAGTGGGCGACAGCTCCCTATTTGCCCCTGGTGCTAAGTTTTTCACAGCCTCAATAAATACCTCATCCTGAACAGTTGATGTATCGGTTTTATTAGTTGAGGTACTGCCGGTACTGGATGCAGGTCTTGATCTTGAGCCTGATGGTGTTGTAGGATTTCTCAACAAAGGAGACATCAGGCCATCAGATTCCTCCCCCTCTAAATTTGTGGAGGTTCTAAAAATAAAAACTTAATTCAGTAACAAACTTTACAATTTGGCCAAGAAAAAAATAACCAGTCATTTTTATTTTACCATTTTCATTATTTAGTATTGCCACCCTGAATGAATACAATTTTTCTAGGATAAATTTGTGTGTGAAAAGCTATAATTACCTTCTACATGTTAAACTATCCTCTAAAAACATGAGAAGTTCGTAATTTCTATGGCTACGTTTCAGCCTCTCTGCCTGCAGCTTCTCTTCTGCTGAAGATCCAGAGGAAATTTTTTTTTTGATGTTCGCCCTGACTCGCATGAAGCTGTCTCGCATGTTCTTCCACTTTTTCGCGATAGCATCTACTGTTATGTCCACTAAAATAGAATATTCAAGTATAATTACTTACTTAATTCTATTACAATAAATTAGAAAAGGTAAAGTATTAGTTGTTGATGTTGTAAAGAACATACCATCTAATTCTTGAATAACATCCAGCCATAAATTTCGAACTTTTGATCTGGCCCTGTCTTTTAAAGGCAGCCTGAAATCATACAATGCGGGCCTCTCCGACACCAATCTAATTAAAATTTCTTCGTCTTCATCACAAAACGGCCTTCTCTCTGGTTGGACGGGTTCAGCTGAACCTGAGGGATGAGCCAGAATTGCCCCAGCTTCATCCCGTCGAAAAGTGTCTGAAGCTTCAGCTTCAACAGCTGTGACATGTCCACTGAGATATAACCCATAATATTTTTCAGCCACTTGATCTGCATAATCAGGATCTGCAAATAATGTAAATACAATGAATAAATATTTTATTGTTGATACTGTACAAGAATGCACTTTCAAGTCAAATAGTAGGAAGCAATTGAAATTTAGGAAAAAAATATAAATTTCCTTCTACCTGCACCATCAGCTTGATAAAAATGAGAAGAGCAATGTTAAAATCAGGTATCAACAGATTCAGTAGTAAATTCATGATATATGCTCATTTGAATAAGTAGGTAAGTAAATTTAGTTCTAAGATGTAAATAATTGTTAAACTGAAAAAAGATAATTTATTTATTTTATTTTATTATTTTATCATTTCTATGAATTTGATAACTGCAAATAAAGGTTTAACCCAGACCCCAATAAAATTGGAAATTATTTCTAGACAATTATTGTAGGTAGGTAGGGTAGGGTAGGTACCTACCTATTGAATTTCTAAAGATTTTACATAATTGAGATCCCAGGCAGGGCGAGGACAATAAAAATTTGTGCTTAAATTTGTATATGGCTGGTAATTTAAATAAAAATTATGGCCAGAGGAAAGGTTGTAAACCTGCAGGGGTTTTGAGAAAATGAGATGGAAATCCCAGGCTATTTAGGATCCATATTCCATAAATGTATAGAAAATATAGAGATTAATAAAATATAATTGGAGGAGGACATCAAGATTTAACATGAAACTAGATATTTGCAGGGAATTCAATTGGCCTTAATTGAAGCCTAATTACGTTATGATCCGATTGAAATTAACACAGTTGCGGGGCAAAATGTGCGCCCAAAATCAAATTTTCAAAAAATGTATTAACTTGTTATTTTTTGAGTGCCATGTTTGGAAGATCCGATAAAAATTTGGCAAATGGATAGTTACGATTGAAATTAACAAAAAAATCAATTAAAATATCCATTTGCTTGGTCAGCTTAATAAAAAATCTAAAGACTATTGCAGCTGCAGTGAAATTATTAACTATATTTGCAAAGAATTTCATTTCAATATTTCAGACCAAACTGTCAAAAAATTTAATTGAAGGAGGTTTTATTTTTTTGTAAGCAAAATGTTCCAGCGATTGGAATAGCTAAATTTTGCAAATGGATACCAGATTGAAAGATTAATAAATACGGGGATAAAAATTACTCTCTATTGCTCACATTGATTGAAATCAAAGTTAAATGACTTTGAAGCATGAAATATTAGTATCTGAATCAAAATCAAAAAAATATATCACACAGAAAATGTTGCAAAAACATTGGCTATTCATAATCAAACTTCACCTAAATTTTATGGGCTACCAAAACCAAAAATCATAATAATACTTTTCAGCCACTTGGTCTGCATAATTGGGATCTGCGAATTTATTCTGTAATTAGCTACTTATATGTATATATTTATTGGTGATACTCTGATTTCTGATACTATAAAAAGAAGCACTTTCACAAGTCAAATGAAATTGAAATTTAAAATAAATTTAAAAATATCAATCAGGGCTCAAATGCTCTTTATTCAAATGTTATTTGCGATCCTAGTAGCAAATGGAATAATTTTTTGGTATAGAGTATAGACTATAATATACAAATTTATTTAAACTATTGTACAAAATATATATAAAATAAAAGAAATCATGCTTACCACTTTGCACTGTCTCCAACTCTTGCTTGGATAGAACCACCTTGAACTTGGTGCCTGTGGAATGAGTGATAACCACTTTAACTAGCTGTTGGGGCTGCGGATTCATTTTTCAAGAGAAAAAAAAACACAATTTACAAAAAGTCGCAATAAATAAAATACAAGAAAACTCCAAAATAGCCTGTCACAACAAACAAAATGGACTGACAGAACCAGCGACACGCGGTGTAGTTGAAAAATTTCAACCACAGCGGGTGTAGCCCGCGACAGAAGAGTGGGGACTAGGGGAAATTTATCCTCGACGTTCTATTGGTCGAAAGGCTGTCATTCTTCGTCGCCAGCGACAGAACGAAGCTCTGAGAACGCCGCTTTAAAGGTCGTGAGGTTAGAATGGACACTTGGTACTATTTGACAAATTAGTCATGTCAATTCTAAACGTTCAAGGCTTCCTTAAGGTCCAAGGAAACCTCAAGGAGCGACTATAATTTCGGCCCTTAGATATGTCCGATATGTCACCATCAAATATTATTTTAAGCTTTCCTCCTTCTTGAGTTTTCTAAAACAAATAAAAAACATTGCCTTCTAAGCATATATTGCACACATTGTTTAATTTCAACAACTTCTTGTCTTGAACGAGAATGCTGGTTAGTATATCCCTAATTGAATAAACCAGATTAGCCGAGTACTACTGTATCGACCTCTCACAACAACTCAACCTCTTCAGCCTCTACCGCATGAGACATATTCGAAGAACCCAGGTTCCACGATAGATGAGGTTGGTTCCTCAGAAATTGCAGAAGATCGAAGCACCACTTTTGATTCTCGTAAGCGTTGGAATACTGCTAGTAGTAGAGAATAGGCGATACTCGGACACTCGATGGTAGGCGGTTCTGCGACACCTCGATGTCCTCACTAGTGATGAGCGATACCGTGATTTTCAAATCACGCTGTTACCTGATACCGTGATTTTTAAATATCAGTGATTTTAAAGCGTGACTTAATCACGACTTCCAATATATTTTAGTACAACTGAAACTGATGCAGACAGATGCAATTTTTTTTCTACTAGCTCAAAAACGACTAGCCATAACCACTGGGAATGGGAAAAAATAAAAAAAAGTTTGCATGTCTATCGAACCTTAGTCCATTCGATCAAGGACTGCTAATGCTAACAACTATAGAACTTGATAATTGAATGATGGTTGTTGTAGTATTAGTAGAAGTGATTGATTGTGTCAATTGTGATGAGGATAGTCTGGCCCACCTAATGCTGTGCAGATTGCTCTCATCGAATTTTGTTTAAATTCTTGCAGAATAGCCTAGCCTGGCCGAGCGAGCCTAGCCTGAACTAGTCCAGAGGGAATAAATAAAAATAATTTTTTTTATGAAAACAGTTTCATTAACAGAGAAATATACGTATTTCTACAAAAAAAATAAATAAAAATAAAAATCAATATATATTTGCTAGTAGCTTTTTAATTTTTTATTTTTATTTCCACATGATGATTTATATTGATTGAAGTGTTGTATATTGTGGTGTGTTTCGGCTTTTATCATATTCCAGTATTTTTTCGTTGTGTTGTCCCATAATTCAGCTTTCTCAAAATCATTGTCCATTTTTTTCCAACCTGCATTGTCCCAAGGTTGCGCTTGATATAATTGAAAGCATTCTTCTACACGGGACTTTACCACCGAATCTTTGATTCTTAACAGACCTTGCTTGTTTGGAAGGTCAATATTGATTCGGGGCGAGAAATAAGAGTAAAACATTTTAGGAATCGGGAATTTTTTCTCCGCAATAGAGATCTACAGGACTGTTGGTTGTGATGTTAGAAGATGTTATTTGGTGAATATGAATTGATTTCCAACAAAAACAAAATAATTTGTTGCAGTTTTCACACCACAATGTTCCTTTGAATTTTATATATTTATCATTCTTCAATATGGCTCTTGGTTTACATCTGCGTCTTGTTTGAGAAAGGCCACTTAAATTCCTAAATCGCTTATTATCTGCAAATACTGGCTGCTCCTTTTTTTCAATTTGAGTAGTCAAAAAAATATTTTTATTAGCATATAATTCAGGGTATTATTTCAACTATGACTAACATCAACAACTTTTTGTAGTGTAGATTTTGATAGAAATACTTGAATCATAAGAAGAAGAGAAAAAATAGAATCATTATATCCCCATGGTATAGTATCAGTATTTACATAGTTTACAATACGCTTATCATCAAAAGGACTCAAAGCTGTTTTTATTTGTCCTACTGTGAAAATATCATGCTTTTTAGAAATAATTGAATTTTGTTGAAAAACAGAAGTATTATGAAAAAGGCAATTATAATAATCATCAAATGTAATAAGTTTTAATGCGGCTGATTTTACACCGTTGGCTTTTTGTTTCACATGATCATTACTATTATTGTCCTGCTCTGGAGTTTTTAAAAGTTTAAAACAATACATTTTACACCTTAATCCAACGAATTCGGTCATGACTTTACCGTTATTTTCATCCTTCATTAACTCGTATACTTTTTTGTTTTGTTTTGTTTTGAAAAAATAATTAGGTATATCATCTAAATAAACTAGGCATTTTTCGTTTTGTAGTCCCCTAAGTATGGAATCCATGACGCTTTGGAAAGTGGTTGGGGCGTTTTTAAGCCCAAACGGCATTCTAAGATATTCGTAGTGTCCATTTTCTGTATTAAAAGCTGTTTTTGGAATATCCGCACAAGTAAAATTCATCTGAATTTTCTATTTGGACAATTTTTTCTATATCAGGTACAATAGAAACAGGATTCAAATCCTTATCAGCACAACTATTTGTTGCTTCAACAACGTATTCAGTTTCAGCATTAATTTCCTGGTGAGTTATCAACAAATGTAGGGTCATTGTTCTCCAAAGAAACTTCATCCAAAGAAATTTGATTGTTTTCAGATATTGCAATGGCACTTTCACAATTTTCCTTAAGTGTTGGATTATTCAAAACAATTTCATTTTCTTTAGCAACTCTTTTCTTCAGCAGATCTCAGAAAAGCATCTTGCGGAACGAGTTTAAGAATTTCTTTTAAGTCTTTAACCTTTCCGGCTGACAGTTCTTTTCTCTGTGGCCACAGAAGAGGCAATTCTATTTGTTTTAAGACAGATTTTCGTCCTTTTCCTGCCTTTTCAATGAGAACCTTGCTATACTGTGGATGATTAGGTAAAAAACTGTGACCCGAAAGCAAAAATTTTAAAGAGATTCACTCAAGCGAAGAAGACGCGAATAAAATAAAAACCAATTTTATACTGCGGTTCTGAGCTCCGCAGGAATCAGACCACAAAACTAACTTTTTCATTCACGAATTTACGTAAGCAGGAACCGACTTCCTGGGTGCCTCTGCGTGCTTCATGCTCTAACCCATTAGTTCCCAACCTTTTTTATGCACGACCCTTTTACAGATTTGCTCATAAGGTCGCGACCCCCCTACCCATTGATAAATGAAAAACAAAATTATATTTATTCGAGAAATCTTTAACAAAAATATTAATATTTCGTAACTAAATACAGAAATCAATTTTTATTTCGTTAATGTGATGATTTCTCGATTTTTCTGGCAACAAATCAAGTGATTCCGCTTTTGCTGCTCCCCGGATTTCCGGCGGTGTGCCTTGTAAATAGTTTTCTTCAATATTTTCATTATTATCCATAATTGCGCCATCTTACTGCACTGGATGAATGTTGAAAAATGGTTGAAAGACAATTGATGACATTTGCATTCGTATTGTTTGATTGCAGCGTTACTGCCAATTCTCCACCCTTATTGGTTCGTCTCCGTGTCATATAAAATTGTAGTCAGCTATGATTGGTTCTTGCCGTTGCAATATGAAACTCGTATTACACAAGCGTAATATAGCCACTATATTGTATTTGCAGTTTACTAAATAAAAGTCTGATTAAATGACAGTTGAGGATACATTATTTTTCTACTTGAATAAAATATAAAATAAAGACTTTAGGATGTTCTATTGAGGTTTAGCAATAATAAAATTTATGATGGAAAACAAACTTCAAGGAGAGTTTCTAAATATTTCTCCTGTGATGTTTCTCTGGTGGAATCTGTTTCCAATATTTTCTGCTTCTGTGTCATTTTCAACAACTTTGCTCCAGTAATATACTCGTTCACATTCTCCAAACCATCAAAATCTATAAATAAGTTGTGAATAACACAGAAAGCTAATATTGTGTTCGGAATCAAATCAAGGCGATTCATATCTAGGAATTTTAATATTCTTAACCTTCTAAACAATAAGGCAAAGGATCTCTGGTATAGCATGCCTTTTGTTAAAATTTCTTCGTGCAGCAGTCAAATTGCCTCTATCTATGTATGGTGGAATACACCACTGCAAAAAAGGGTAGGCTTTATCTTCAAAAATAAATTAATTTCCTGTGAACCAATAATCATGATTTTCCATTACTCTAACATAAATGTCAGTGTTTCCGAAAATCCTTCTATCGCTAACAGACCCAGGATGGCCCACAAAACAGTGCGTGAGTTGAGCATTGCAAATACCTTGAAGAGTCATAGTATAATTACACTTTCTTATTCTGTATGCTTCAGGGACTTACTGAATCTTACATACCTATATAATGTAGATATGAATTTGCGACATTAAAAAAAAAAACATTGGAACAATAGTAATACTTAAATAAAAGAACAATAAATGCTTAAAACTAAACCCATAAAAAGTACCTGAACCAGGTTATCACAAACAACTTGGACATAACTAAAAAGTATCTGGTACTTCTTGTAAATTAAAGCAATCCATGTGATACCATTTAACATCACAGTCGCTGTCACCACATTCTATCATGGGTCTGCCATCATCAATCATCTTACAGATGCACCAGGTTTCGAATGGCAATGAAGTTTTGGTGTAAAATCTCCCAAGAAGCACTGGCATAATGACCCTCTTGTGAAATTCCAAACTTTTTGCACATTCACTCCTCCAAAAATCTTCATTAAACAAGATTCTTTGGACAAACAACTCAGTTGGTGACCATACTACAAAGTCGCAATATAAAGTTTTGCTTAAAGCCATCTGCTGCTGCATTTGATAAAAATATG